AAAAAAATTAAATGTTTTTACTCGGGTAGGACGGAGGGCGCCTTCTTGTTTAATTCCTATGGACATTGCTTTCGTTTTGGATTCTTCGAGTAACGCTGGCCAAGTTGGCTATCATACACAGAAAGACTTTGTGAAGCTTCTCTCTCGCAACCTTGCAATGTCTGTTACTGGTAGTCGTGTAGGAGTCATTTCCTACAGTGCCCAGGCCAGCGTCGATGTTGCATTTCGGGAGCATTCGAACCCCGATGATCTTCAAGCCACCATCGATACTCTCCAGTTTAAGGGAGGAGCATCCCGAATTGACAAGGCTCTTGATCTTGCTCTGGAGGTTCTGTCGAGTTTGAACCGTGGAGCTAGACCCGGAATCCCAAAGGTGGCTGTTCTTTTTACGGATCTGGTCACAGATATTACGGAGTACGACACTCTTAGGAAGGCAGTTGTGCCATATAAAACAGAAGGTGTTGAAGTGATTGCAGTCGGTATCGGGCCACAAGCCGACCTCCAAGAACTGCGTGTGTTGGTTGGCAGCGAGGAATACGTTTTAGGGGCTGAATCATTTAAAAGACTCGGTGACTTGGCAGGAAACCTTACCTTGTTAGCATGTAAGGCTGCAGGTAAATATACAAAGTTATTTTTTCTAAAGTACGTGTTGAGGTGCGTCAGCGGACAAGTGAAACCATTATTTATCAACTTGAGGTCGATAAAGGTAAATTAACCCAAGTATCGTTTCTATGAAGATGATGTTTTGAGCATTAGTTCTTTATAAAAGCAATGTGGGGGATTGGGAGTTGTTTGCGTCTTTAGCGTATTTATATAGTGGAATGCAGTTATATACATTTTCAAATAGCTGGCTAACCCTCTTCACACAATACCCAAGCAGCCTGGCCATTGTACAAGGTCAATTAAGTATCACCTGACGCCTCATGAGACACTGTTTCAAACGTCACTCCTTGGCCGGAACAAATATAAGTTTGTGTTTATACTAGATAGTGACTTAACCAGTTACGCTTTTAGATGATACCAGAAGGCTCCATGAGGTGCAATTTGCAGTGATACTGTTCTCTCGTTAATAGTTATGCGAATCGTTTTGTTACGTAATAGAGTTTATGTAATAAATACTTTTCGAGTGTTTTGGTGTTAACACGGTGGTAAGTTTGCCTCTGATCATTTGCTAGCCATTAATGCAGACGTAAATAGAGCGAGTGGGTGTATTTTTCTCGGGCTTGCGCAAACAGGAGGAAAAAAGCGTCCCTGGGTGGTAGGAGTGGGACTGAATGACAAATGACTCGCTCCAAGCCCCGTTTCTCTCGTATCAATCGTCTACGTTTTGCGAGTCCAAGATGGCCGCCAAATGTGCAAAAGAAATATTTAGCTCCCTCAAGTTCGCAAAATATAGCTTAACGGGTGAAACGCCACCAAGTTACATCACTGCACAATTACTTTACTAGGGGGCCATATTTTAGCTAGTGCTCCTACTATTAACTGGAAATTTTCGATATAGATACTTTAGAACATTTCAGAACAGAACATCTTTTAATCCGCCGTAAATCTGAACTGCTTGCAAATCTTTCTCTTTTTCTTGCTTTCTTTTATGCTTTGATTTCTACTTTTCTAGAGCCCAAGCGAGTCATTCACCCGATGGACGTCGCCATCCTCGTTGACACATCCGAAGGCATTAGCTCCATCGATTTCGAAAGGGAGAAAAACTTTGTCAAGTCCCTTGTCAGGAGTTTTACAATATCATCGAGTTTAAGTCGCGTCAGCATCATGTCATACAGTAATGAAACGGACCTTACTGTCAATTTCTCCGACCAACAAACCAAGAAAAGCCTCTTACGACGCGTCGACGCTCTTCCTTTCCTTGGAGGACGAACACAGATTGACCAAGCTCTGGAAACAGCAGCTGCACAGCTGTTCTCCCCTAGTGGGACTGCTCGGGCTGCTGTACCAAGGACCATTGTCATCGTAACGACGCAGTGTTGCCAAGATCGCATGACAGGTTCTAGTAGACTGAATGAAACGGTTGCTCTATTGCGAAGAAATGGTGTCAAGATCCTGGTGACGGCTGTTTGTGATGATGTTGATGACGAGGGGCTTGGAACGCTTGTCGAGGATGAAGAGGATATAATTACCGCTGACTCTTTTGAGGGCTTGGCGGCGGCAGCTGAGAAAGTCAGTGCAGCGGCGTCCCAAGTTGCAGGTACTTTTGCGTGTACTCGCATTCGTTATGCTGCTTTTTTGAAAGAGCTTTGTTTATTGGGCAGTTGCTCTCCCCTCTACAGGGGCTTCTGGTATAGTCGCTAAGCTAAGGACTGGGGAGAGAAATATATAAGACTCGCGGTGCACTGTAGCACAGAGACGTCTCTCGCCTTTTCTCCTTTGCGATCGTCCCCCGTGCACCTCGCCTCCTTATTTTCCCCCTGTGTTTTTTTTTTTCTTTTTTTTTTTTTTTTTCTTGTTTTACTAAAGAAATAAGACCTTTGCGGGTGAAAGAGAAGCGGTGGAACTAACAGAAATTTAAATAGTTAGAATCTTAAGCAGGACTGAAATTATTTCGTCGAAAGGGCCTTTTTGTGACCTGTTTTCAGCTGTATTGTTTAAAATGTACAGCGAGTTTAAATGTGTGTGTGAAATATGAGCCAAATTGAAATACTACTCCGTGCGCTAAGCGATTGAAAAACTAGCGCGGATGGAATTTATGCGAAACAGAACACTTTTAAGACCTTTTAATGTGCCAGTAGAGAAAGTCATGAGGTTGTCTACATTTTATTTGTACGCGACCATCTTTTCGAGCTGCAAATCAACTTGTAGGCTCGATTTCTGCCGCTCTTACGGGTCCGATCGCGTAAGCGCGGATTCATTTCCCGAAACAACTGCTGTCAATCGAGCCTGATCAATTTGAAGTAAATAATTTTTGTTTACTTTCAGCCGTTTCGATCAAAATTTACATTTACAAACGTATATCTTGAAAAATACATAAGGGATGCTTTAGAAAGACTTTTGCGAGGTTTTTCTTGTCTGAATATTTACTTCGCCCGTGGAAATGAAGCGTGCTACCAGGAACTAAAAGGAACATTTTGACAACTTGTGCCACGTTTGGACTACTGAGTGATTCGTATTTACGTTTTAAAAAGTAATTCAACGTGTGCCATACCACAGATTGTTCCCTATCCTCGTTTGTTGCACGTTAAAGCTATCATTTAAGTCATACCTCAGACTTGGTGCTTGTGGCTGGGAAGGTATTCCTGAGTACATCACTATGTGAAGCAGATTTTGGCAATATCAACTACGGCAGTTCTTGATCCAAACCTCAACCGTGGTTATTGAAGAACTTAATCCTTACTTCCTTTGGATATCTCCTTTCATTACACATCGTTCTGCTTTACAAGAGAGGGACAAAATCCTTACCGGAACGATAAACTGTGTGCCCGGGACGAAAACGCCTGCACTTCGTTTAGTGAACGGTATATGGAAGTCATGGTGTCACGCAGTGTGTCACGCGGTACAATTTTTTAGCAGATCTTTCCTCGAGGCTCTCGTTACGAACACTCACGTAATCAAAAGACACTTGACTAAAAGCGTACAATAGCTGGTTTTCACATGACGTCACTAAAATTCAAACTACAAAACTATTAATCTTCCTGAGATTTTACTTTAATGATGATCAATGATGTATAAGAGTAACTGAAAACTAATATTCATACAAATTTTCGCTCCGAATGGGTTCTTTGGTTTTGTGATACACTACGCTTGAATTTCTTAGCTTTTGCGTGACGCGGCCTTTACATGACGGCCTAGTATTATTTTAATGTTTTAGAGTTCCTCGAGGAATAAATTCACGCTTTTGTAGCAATGCTCAGTGACAGATATTTCTGTTAGTTTCCGGACGCCATGTTGGTGCCCATACGGATGGGCACCAGCATGGCGTCTCCATACAAATCTTTATAAACTTAGGTAAAAAATTTGTCCGCAAATCATGCATAAGAAAAATTGCCGTGAACAGAATCTTGGCGAGAGTGTTTGCATATTTGCCTTCTTTCATTTCCCAGATTCTGAACTTTATCTATTGAACGGTTTTGATGTTGATTTTAATTTATTTTGAATGGCGTGACACTGAAAACCAACAATAGTCGTTCAGATGATTTCACCCTTTAATCAATTGTCAACCTCTTTTACCTATGTATTGGACTGGAACTAGCTCGCAACTGAGGCTAACACGGGGAGTCTTCTCAGATATAGATGAAATTTATCTTTTTGTAATGATATTCGCCCGCGTGAGCCTCGATTGCAAGCTAGTTCCACTCCAGTACCGAGAATACCGAATATGGTCCATTCCAGTTGAGCGCGGCGATGTTTAGATTTTTCGGCGGAAAGATAGTTGAAAGTTACGTGTGAAAAAATGGCGGAAAGTAGCAGGATTTATTGAGCGTTCTACCAACAAATAGTAGACAATGCAATTCTGAAAGTGGGGGGCGCGGTGGCCCCAAGGTTAGTGCCCTCGACCCCGGAGCGAGCGGTCCGGGTTGGAGCCCTGGACGGGGACATTGTGTTCTGCTCCTGGGCAAGACACTTAACTCTCACAGTGCCTCTCTCCACCCAAAGTGTATAAATGCGTACCGACGAATTTAATGCTGTGGGGCAACATCCCATCCAAGGGGGAGTAGAAATTCTCCTAGTCGCCTCATGCCACTAAAACCGGGATAATCTCCGGCCCGATAAGCCACTTAGTTCGTATACAGACTATACCTTTACCTTTACAATTCTGTAAACTACAAAATGCCCCAAACCTCAACCATATAGCGTCTGCTCTATTCGAAACAAAAATAAATGTGCGACAAAAGCGACTGAATGAAGAAGAGAAGCCGCAAGCACCTCACGGGACAATTTACGGACTTAGTTTCGTGCAGAAAGTAAAAGAAAATCTTCGGTATAAAATTATCTTGCTGGGGACCGCGAGTTGAACAATGAGCGAACCTAACCTTTCAACACTTCATTACTAGTAACCTCTTTGGTTCTGTCCTTACATGAGTTATTTTGAGTTCTCGTCTTAATCCTCCATTTTTTTGCTATTGAAACATGTAAACTCAGTCCATGATAATTCTGAAATTTGAAAATAGTGTATTCACTCTGAAACGCATCAAACGTTTCCTTCCGCGCAAAGCCAGAGAAATTTGTGTTTGAGGAAACCTCGGGTAGGAAAATCACGTGATTATCGCGTCATCATCGTTAATCGAAAGGCTCCGTTTTCAAAATGTTTTCTGTCCACACTAAAACACAAAGCCGGCGTTTTCAATTTCCTCCGGATTAGCGTGGAAGGTTGGCCTAACCGTAGAGTGAAACTGCGTTTTCAAATTCCTCCGGATTAGCGTGGAAGGTTGGCCTAACCGTAGAAAGAAACTGCGTTTTCAAATTCCTCCGGATTAGCGTGYAAGGTTGACCAAACCGTAGAAAGAAACTGCGTTTTCAAATTTCTCCGGCGTAGTGTGGACTGTGCCTTAAGACTTGGTTGAGCATAAGGGACAATGCACCTGAATGCTACGTCTTTCATACGTTTCTGCGCTGGTTCTCTCATTGTCCCTGATGTTTTATGCAGTCGACTAAAACTGCCACCATAGGTAAGAAATGAAAGGTTCAAGGGATTATGCGATTTGAAGGAATGACAAGAAAGGAGTGAGATATCAGTCTGACTTGACGTAGATGAGGGAAAATGGTGGTTTACAGTGAAGATTGAATGTAAATTTTTTTTATTCAACAAATTGATAGAAGGACGCCAAAGTGCATTTCCCTAACCTGAGGTGCTCTTGTACTGGGAGCAGGCCGTCTGCCAGTTTTCGGGCTTTTTATTCATGTTTAGTTATCCCTCAACTTTGCCCCAATTTTATATAAATTTACTTGTATTGTCTGAAAAGCTCTTTTCCAATCTCCACGTTCCAGCACCTGAACGATGCACTAAAGTGGTCGACATTGCTTTTATAATGGACTCCTCGGATAGTATAGGCATCCAGAACTATCAGATACAAAAAGACTTTGTCAACGCGATCGCGGAAAGCTTTGACATACAGCCCACCGGAAGCCGAGCTGGAGTCGTCGTTTCCGGTAAGGAGGCAACTTTGAACATCAAATTTGGTGACTACCTGCACGCTGAGGACTTCCAAGAGGCCGTTGACAGACTTCCCTACACAGCAGGCAACGCTAGCATCAACAAAGCCCTTAAAGTAGCTCTTACACAGCTACTGGTTGTTCAAGGTGGCGCGAGACCTGGGGTGGCGAAGATCTTAGTCCTGATAACAAGCGACACACAGAATCAAACGGTAGATAACGGTCTGGTTGACGCCGTCGCTCGAAAACTTCAACAACTAGGAGTGGCAGTGTTTCTTATGGGCGTTGGTGAGAAGGTGGATGTGAAATTACTTCATCCATTGATTACCAGCGACGAGAATGTTTTCCTTGAGAAGTCGTTCGAAATTTTGATGATGAAAACTCGACAAGTGGCAAAGATGGCGTGCGACAGGGCAGGTTTGTTTGTAAACTGTTCTTTGGAACCAATAGGCAGGGACTGTAAATGACAGTGCTTGGGAAGGAACCACGTAACCATGAGAACAATAACTACCAATACCAGTCCAAATCAAGGATGGCTCTCCCTTGGACGCCTTCTTGCAAAGCTTACAAATGAGGTCACCCGGGGCACTTTATCGCTCATTAGAACAGTGAAATGTTAGGGTCTCGTTGAAGACTAGGTGTCTTTTGGTCGGAATGGACACTAAATGAGAGCTTGTATAGTCTGTCCAATCACGTTTATTTTTTGCTACTAGTTGTTTTTCTTCGAGCACGTGGGCGATGCTTGGGCGGAGCGCGAGTTGTCTTTCCCCAGCCCCACCCTCTTGCGTTTTGACTCGTCGATATCCCACGCGTCGGGTTAATATTTTGCTAAGCTTGCGATCTCGTCGAACTCAAGGCAAAATAGAGGGTCTATGGACAGACTACAGCTCGTATAGTGCGCCATCCTGAAGAGGTTTAAACCAAATTCCCGGCTTTCAGTTTACTTTTTACTCAAAATAATTCATGTTCTCCAAACCAAATGACTTGAGGGGAAATTTTAGCCGAAGTTACACAGAAATAAGTAGGCTAAACTTTGTTTTAGACTACAGAATAAGTGCTTTTTAAGTTTCTAAAACAGCCCAAATTCGATGAATCATCAGAACCAGATGGAATGATCATAATTTGATAATCAAACTGTCGCGATCTTTTACGTTTTTTTAGTATTTTCCAGATGCAGAAACCCAGTTGATGTCGCTTTCCTAGTAGACTCCTCGGGAAGTCTCGGCAAAGAAGGCTTTCGCGAGCAGAAGGATTTTATCAAAGCGCTCACTCAAACTCTTGATATATCTTACTCGCAGAGCAGGGCTGGTGTTATAACGTACAGCGATAGAGCCTCAGTAGCGATCACATTTTCCGATTACAATCACTACGAGGAGTTTAATATCGCTCTCGAAGCCTTGCCGTATCACGGAAAGACCACCCGGATTGACAAGGCCATTGTCAAGGCTTCTAGGGAGCTTATGACAAGGAGAGGAGGACGAAGAGAGGACATCCCCGGAGTCATGGTAATAATGACTGACGGGAGGCAAACTCCCGATTTGGACGTAACACCTTTAGAGGAAGCGGCTACGAGCTTGGAGAAGTTAGGCGTCACGACGTTAGTGCTTGGAATCGGTGAACTGGCAGACGAGAAAGAACTTCGAAAAATGACTGCTCGAGATGGCGATGTCTTCCTTGCACCTTCCCTCCAAAGTTTATCTAGTTTTGTGCGACCACTCTCTACAAGCATATGTGAAGCTGCAGGTATGTGCACAGCACTGTTTTCCTGGTTACTTAGTCCTTCATGCGTGTATATTAATATACAAGTTCTCTTTTCTGTTTTTTTTTTTCTGCACATTTTCCTGTACTTCTTGGGAAAATGCCTTTAGATATCAAGCAAATTTCTCTCAATTTCCTCTTATGACCTCTGCTACGTTTGACAATCTCATAAAATGCTGGAGGGTTACATGTGATTGAGTGGTATCCCGTGCGTTCGTGGTGGGAAGGGGAGGTGGGAGTGAGTAGCTGTAATCCTCCTAATCCTCGCATTAAGAATTCAATAGAAAAAATATATAAATTAGCGCTGCCTTCTGTGGAAGACATGGCATTACCTTCAATTGTATTACCTCTCAATTACCATTGTTGTAATATTGTACAGAAACTGATCCTCTTTGACCCGATTTTGCAGCACCACAGACATGCGATGTTCCTCTAGACGTTGCCTTCGCGGTGGAGTCATCGGATAACATTTCACCAAGAGACTATCAGAGAATCAAAGATTTCGTCAAGGAAGCAGCTACATACCTACTGACAAACGGTGGTCAACAGCAAGTCGGTGTTATTTTATTCAACAGCGAGGCAACGATACGGTTCAAGTTTGGACAATATTATTCCGAGTTTGACTTCAACCGTGTTATCGACAATCTTCCCCTCGAGAAAGGACTAGGACAAGTCCACAAGGCTCTGCACATCGCTTCCACCGAATTGTTTACTGACGTGGGAGGGGCAAGACCCGGAGTCCAGAAGCTATGTATCGTGCTTACAAATAAAAAACAAGCCGTTGCAGAGGACACTGAAGTACTGAAGGATGCCGCAAGACCCCTTCAACGCGCAGGGGTCCGGGTGATAGCCATTGGGGTGACTTCCTCGGTGGACTGGAAGGCGTTGCGCTCCATAACGGAGGACGCCAAAGATGTCATCGTGTCACACTCGTGTGACAGTTTGGTGACGAAAGTTAGTTATCTTTTCAAGCGCGTCTGCGTCGATGCTGGTAAGCACCATTCTTTATACGTTAGGATGACACAAATGAAGCCTCGTTAATTTTCCCGATTTGTAGTAAAAAGGACTAAGATTTGAAGGAAACGTGAGCATATACATGTAATTTGTGATTTTTTTTTGACCTTGTCAGCTGTGCAAAAATTCTCGCCCTTGGGCAATACTCAATAGAAATGCACCGAAATTTAACGCAGACAGGCCCCACGAAATTTTGTAACGTTTCAAAGGCGTTGAGTATTTCGTAATGATCAGCTCTCGTCTGAAGAGAGTAGATGTTGTGAATGAATTGAAGAAAAGGAACGAAAACTATACCTGTTTCGGTCGGAATGATCATTCAGACAATTTTGTGGGGTGGAAAGTACAAACAAGACGGACATTCCTCGCGTCCAATCTGGTACTTTAGATTTTGGTGTACAAACTGCGAGCACAATTGGTTACTATTTCGAGGCAAATCCTTGTAGAGGTGTCAGCAAAACATGGGATTCGATCCGAATAGTAATCAGTTCGGCCCAAGCCCAAAGATTCTGCACCAATAAGATTCCATTACTTTACTTGATAGTAGATGTCCTTTCTAATCACTTACCGGGCTGATCTCATTTAATTATACACACACTGGATAGTTGAAAGAGGTCTTTTCATTTCAATCTAACTTAACGATCTGCTGTCTATTTTTCAACGCAAAGCCTACAAGCAGTGTGATGGTGTAGCAGATGTGGTGTTCGCCGTCCACTCCTCTAGAGGCCTCACTCCTTCAAACTACAGAAAAGAAAAAGAACTCGTGAAAAGAGTGGCAGCCACTTTGAACATTGCACCTGGAAGAAGCCGCATCGCGTTGATTCTTTACAGCAACTTCGCCACGGCGGCTGTCAGACTGGATGAAGAGAAAACTCTGGCCTCGTTTGATAATCTTGTGGACGGTTTGCCTCATGAGCGCGGGGTGACGCGCATCGACAGAGCTTTGAAGCTTGCTCGGTCGATTTTTGACTCCAATGGTGTCACACGGCGAGGAGTGCCCAAGATTTTTATCTTGTTGACCGACGGAAAGCAAACCATGGCCCAGGATGTTCTGACCCTTGACGAAGCTGCACGACCACTGCACGAGAGAGATGTTAAGATATTTGTAGTGGGAATGGGAAGCAATGTAGATGTTGAAGAACTAAAAGCTGTGGCGCTTGATAAAGAGGACTTGTTCCTAGCACCGTCTTTTGACAATCTTGTCAGCTTAAGCGGCTCCTTGTCCAAAAAAATGTGTCAGGTGGCTAGTAAGTATACAGTCCAAATCAGATCTGGGTTCTCGCAGCTAGGTCACATTTTTTCAGTTAGAATAGCATCCGGTGAAAGCTCATTTTCTCTTTCTTTTCCTTGTGTACTGATGTAATGTTTGTCTAACCAAACTGTACTAAGCAAGGTAAAGTTATCTTGCAAACCTTTGCTATTGCGTAATGCCTTAAGTCTTCATTAAAGCTGCCGGAAGAGAAAAGTCTGCCAGCGTTTTGCTCTCTTCGACTTCGTTTTAGTTTTCTACTTTTTAATGGAATATTCCAAGATTTTCATAGCACATAGCATATTTCCAAATGAAACTTGTGTTGAGGAAATGCTGTTGTTAAACGGATAAATTTATCCTTATTTCTTTGTATATGTTACTATGTTCTTTTTACGATCGTATGAAAAGTTGTTACTTACGGAGTGACTGACGAACCAGACCGCATGGCCTACCAAATGACCGACTGACCGATCGACCGATTTTCTTACGGTAGACCTTGTGCGTTGCTTTTTTTAGAACCGCCAGTTTGCAGTGAACCCATGGACGTCGCATTCCTAGTGGATGCTTCAGGCAGTGTTGGAGCAACCAACTTTGAAAAGCAGAAGGAGTTCATCAAAGCAGTCGCCAGTACGTTAGGCCTCAGGAGTGGCCTAGCCCGCGCTGGGTCCCTGGTTTACAGCGACATGGCGACAGTCCAACAATCTTTCAAAAACTGCAACGGAACAAGTTCTGTCATGGAAGCTGTAGATCACATACCTTACTACGGACGTACCACGCGTATAGATCGCGCTCTGTCACTCGCAAACACAGAGTTGTTTAGCATAACTGGAGGCGTGCGATCTTACGTGGCCAACACTCTCGTGCTTCTCACAGACGGAAGACAAACCCCGGCACCGGACTCAATTTCTATGGAGCGTGCAGTCAAGCCTCTGAAAGACAAAAAGGTGGCCCGGATAGCTCTGGGGATCGGAAACCAAATAAGCCCCGCAGAGCTCCGCAGAGTTGTGGATGGGCAAGACGACATTGTCACAGTTGACAGTTTTGATGACCTCTACTCGTCCTCGTATGTAGTGTCGAAAAAACTATGCGCACGCGCAGGTGAGAACTGCCGTTCTAGAAAGGGATACTGCCATAATAAAATCCTCCGGGTTTTTGCCTTAGGGCTAGGCCTATATTTAGGTCTAGCTTTAATCCACCCAATATAAGTTCTAAAGTTCTGAGCTTGTTTGTTTGATTTTTGTGTTTCACACTGGCAGAGTCTTGGTATTTCAGCTTGTAAAGTTTGTTTTGTGTTTTATAAGTCATTCAATGTTCGATGTTCTTATTCTTATTTATAATCTTAAGTTATGAGACAGAAAATCCCATCCGCTTGTATTACAAAAACTCAAAAGTTGATCTTATCTTTGAACAGCCTTGAAGCAGTGCTCCTCTCCTTTGGACATTGTTTTTGTTCTGGATTCATCAGCAAGTATAGGTGAACTTAGCTACGGGAAAATGAAGGACTTTGTCAAAACTGTTGCAAACTCGTTCATCATTGGACCAGGCAAAGCGTTTACGGCTGTGATCCAATACGGTACTAATGCAACCACCGCTATCCGATTTACTGATTACATGAACAACGCGGATTTCAATACGGCTGTTGACGCCCTACCGTACTTACGAGGGAAAACACGTATCGACAAAGCATTACAGCTGGCATCGTCTGAGCTGCTAACAGAACGCAGCGGTACCCGGGCAGGAGTCGCCAAAGTGCTGGTACTCCTAACAGATGGACGGCAGTCAAGAGCTCCCGAGGGCGTGGATGTTCAGAAAGCTGCGACGCCTCTATTGTCAGCAGGAGTGCGCGTTTTTGCGGTGGGGATTGGAACCGAAATTGATGAGAATGAATTACAACTCATTGTTGATAAGACAGATGACGTCATCTTGGTGTCATCATTCGATGGACTTGCAGCAAGAGTGAGGCAGCTGTCCATAGCCACGTGCGAAAGTTCAGGTATAACTGACAACCCTTACAATACTCTTATAATGTAATTGGATTATTTTAACATCTTACATTATGTAAGACAAGTCTATAACCGGAATCTTATTCTTGGGATTTTTACCAAAACGTTCACTCACAAAGGCGTGGCCGTTTCATCGTCACAGAGCTCGCTTTTTCGTAAAAAGCCCTTAGCACTGAAAAGGTCATCCTGTTGCTATGGCAATTTACGTCAAGACGATGCTTAAAACGTGTTCACAGATGATTTGGATTCGTTTGACACCATTATTTTAACGACAACCGAATATAAGGATTAATGCCCAGCCGTTAACTACAGTTGTGGTGTTCCACGTCTTACATCAGAAAAACAGGGTCGCATACAAGCCATTAATACAGCCGTGAGGTACATGTGCATGCATATCTTACCCCTATGTACTTTCATTCCTGATATTTCTCGGTATCTCCAAGGGCAATTGTAACAGTAAAAAAAAACACAACTGACATTCTGTTATGGACTTTTCTCCCAGAAATCGACGCTTGTGACAACATCATGGACATCGCCTTCCTGCTTGACTCCTCAGGAAGCATAACACCAACCGAGTTCCAACAAGCGAAAGATTTCATCGAGCTTATGGCAAACTCCTTCCTTAAAAACAAGGTCGGAAGTCGCGTGGGACTCATTCAATACAGTATCGTCCCAACAATTAACGCTCGATTTTCCGACGGACTTACCAGTGATCAATTCCGCAGTGTCTTGGACAAAGTTGTTCACAAAGGGGGATACACTAGGCTAGATCGTGCTCTCTTGCTTGCGGGTGAAAAGCTGTTTTCCGATGAAGAAGGCATGCGAAAAGACATCCCTAAAGTCCTGGTTGTGATCACGGACGGAATAAACACTGACGCGCCTGATTTCACCCCATTGGACACCGCGGTAGCGCCTCTGAGACGCGTTGGCGTCAGAGTGTTTATTGTGTCCATTGGAAGTAAGGAGGGCCAAGAGGAACTATACCTGCTCACGCAACAACGTGAAGACTTGTATCACGTCAGAACATACAATGATTTGGCACTTCAACTGCGCAGAATATCAAAGGACACCTGTGAAAGTGGTGGTAAGAAGCTTAAAGAAACTCTTGGGGCGTTTTTGTTGCATGTGTCATTGTTATTGTCGTTGTTGTTGTTGTTGTTGTTGATGCTACTACTGTTGTTGTTCTTGCTGTTGTTCTTGTTCTTGTTCTTGTCCGATACTACGATGGCTTTTAAACTGGCCTAAAGATGTAAAAGCAAACTAATCTCATCAGAACCGAATATTTTTCTCCAACTACCTCTCCTATCTTTCTTGAAAATTGTCGGGAAGTCAGGGAAATAAATATAATTGCTTTGTGAGAATCCCATCTTAGAGAAAAGATGGATAACGTATTATTTGTACGTAGTGGTTCCCTCGACCGTTCAAGAGCACGTGAAGATAGTTTTCTGATCTAATTTTCTATCTTTCATACAGCCCTTCCGAGATGTGATCGTGTAATGGATGTCAGCTTCTTATTGGACTCTTCAGAAAGTGTCGGCTTACAAAATTTCCAAAACCTGCTGGACTTTGTGCGCAAACTCGCGAAGACACTGCGCATGTCCCGAAGTGGCACCCATGCGAGTGTCGTCATCTTCAGTGACATCGCCAGAGTTCAAATCAGACTGGACGACCACGACGACATCCGGGAGTTCAACAAGGCCCTAGATGATGTCCCGTATCTGGGTAAAAAGACCCGCATTGACAAGGCTTTGCAGGTTGCTTCGGGTGGCGTTTTCAACAGTAGGGCTGGCATGAGAGCTGGCGTTCGAAGAGTTGTGGTCTTGTTGACCGAAGGACATCAAACTAGAACGTTCGACGCTATACCGCTTAGGTACGCGGTCGAACCNACAACAATAATTTTCAGATTTCAAAACGTTTAAGACTTGCGTTCTAATCTTTATGCTATGTTAACTAACTTAATTCAACTCGTTAAATAATTTATTTTCGTAAAGAACACATTATTTCATGTCCTGTTCAATAACTACACTATATAGATTAGAAATTAAAGGAATAAAATTATATTTCTTTTTGTTCTCAATTTCCACTTTCATATTTCTGCTGTTAGAAACGTTACTGAGCAGGACCTTCATGTGATAGTTTTTATTAGTCTGTGAAAAAAGGGATCTAGCTCTTAAGTCTGTAGATAAAACCCTGGTGTGTGACCATTTAAATGAAAGCTATTGAGCAGTACTTTCCTATGGTCCTCTATGGTACTCTCTTTTATGCTCACCAAGGTAGCTCTAACTTTAAAGTCCATGGATTAAGGACGTTCGCGCGAAAATGTTCTACTCGATAACTTTTCATCACACTTCTACTGCGGACGGATAATAAATTACTTGTTTCAGAAATGAAAAACAAATTGGCATGAGAAAACTAGTGCTTTTGAAAGGGTTTTTAGCTTAAAATATCAAACATGAATCAACGAAGACAAACTATCCTGAAATATTTTGTATGAGTGAATCCGTTGCGTTAATAGTTCCAAATGTCGCCAACAAAACTTAACTTTTCAAGAGGCATTCGAAACCACCGCGCAGATAAACAAAGAGCTAAAAAGAACGGAATTCGATGGTGCATTTTGCAAAAAAGTCAAACTTCTAATCGATAGATTTTCTTCATTTTTTCGCTAAACGTAGAAAATCGGTAGAGAAAATGATCCATCAAAAAAAATACGGGCAGTACTCTCATATGGTAAGACCTTAAATGTGTGAACATCAACATGAAAGCTCTTGAGCAGTACTTATTACTGTTATTATAACATATAACGCAGCTCTACAGGGTGTAACTTGTATTTCTCTGCTTGNACACGAATGCCGTAAATCCTCGAATTAGCGCCCAGGACGCTTATTTCAACTTTAGGAGAAGATGGGGGGCGCTTATTCGAGGGGGTCGCTTAATCAGTGGGGCACTTATTTATTTTAAATTTTGGCCGATAAGTGGGACGCTTATTCGAGGGAGGGCGCCAATTCGAGGATTTACGGTTGAAGAACAAACCCAATAAAATCAACCTGCATGTATCCAACCAGTACATAATTTGCATAACGAACCCACTCCGATGGGCTGTTGATGCACGGGAATAGAGAGAGGCGAGAGAGAGGGGGAGTGAGAATAGTGAAATGCTTCTGGCTACATCCCCTCTGTATCCAGAGCTAGGAGCGTAACTAAACAGCCTATTTGGGTAGTCGGAGTGAATCATTAAGATCCCGTTCTTTTCGCCAAAAGCTGTTGGCTTGCTCTGTGCTTTGCTCTGGGCCCCACAGCGTCTCCCATCAAACCCAAACAGACGAGTAGGCTCGTAAGATGAACGTAAGTTACACGTAAATGTAAACCTACCTACTGAGTATTTGTCGGCCATAAAAACCAGACTGCAACATAAAGCGCAAGGTATGTTTACTTGAACAGAACTTTTTTAAAAAAAGTATTTTAGTACCCAAAAGACAATCACGTTGCCATTACGGCTCTCTTCCGAATTATTGGTACTTCGGAATTGTCAGCGAACACCAACGTTTATCGATACTTTCGAGAACTTAATTAATGACGTTCACACGAAAATGTTTTACTCGATAGATTTTCTTCAAACTTCTACTGCGGACAGGTAATGAATTACTTGCTTCAGAAATGACAAAACCATTGGGGATTACGGGCTTCGTTTCAGAGATAAAGCGTGTTGAAAACTAGTCTGATTTTGAAAAATTGGCAAGCGTAAATCAACATGGTCTCCAGTGTTTTAAGATCAAAATATCAAAGATGAATCAACGGAGACAAACTATCCTGGCAATATTTTGTATAAGTGAATCCTTTGTGTTAATAATTCCAAATGTTGCCAACGTTTACATGAAATGTTAAAAAGAACGGAACTCGGTGGTGCATTTTGCAAAAAAGTCAAACTTCTAATCGATAGATTTTCTTCATTTTTTCGCTAAACGTAGAAAATCGGTAGAGAAAATGATCCATCAAAAAAAATACGGGCAGTACTCTCATATGATAAGACCTTAAATGTGTGAACATCAACATGAAAGCCCTTGAGCAGTACTTATTACTGTTATTATAACATATAACGCAGCTCTACAGGGTGTAACTTGTATTTCTCTGCTTGATAGGAACGCAAAATAGCATTACGCTTGTGCTCCGCACTCCAAACATTTACGATAACTGAAAACGTAGCACATCATTGATCAGATGGAAGTTTTTCAGATCATGACCGACTCATTCATTACATAAAATGCCTGAATTACTCTGGCAACTACAAATGAACATCCGATCACCGCCAAAAGCTGGTACTCTGGTATTTTAAAATAGCAATGCCGAAGGCACTGTTTGCATGCGGTTAGCTTTAATTTCATGAACAGGACAGCATTATATTGTATTTGGCGTTCTCCAACAAATAAAAGCTAACCGCAAGACCAACGGCAAGCAAACTGGGCATTCTGCATTCTGCAATTACCCCTGCCGGTAAAAGGATTCAGCGACTTGTTTGTCGGTATTTTGATTAAAAAATAATAGTAGTTGGCACAGTTTTATCGGTATCAATCAGTTTCTTGGCGTGGAAAAAAAATTTTTTCACATTTCATTGAAATCTTGGTGGTTTCACTCTGAAGGCAAATGTTTTCCGTCCACACTACACCAGAGGAATTTAACAACGCAACAATCACCGATCATTTTGGATTTGTGTTTGAAAAATACTCGGGCAGGGATATTATGATTGTCGTAAGGTCAACGTTTTCAAAAAGCTCCGTTTTCAAAATGTTTTCTGTCCGCGCGAAAATGAAAAGCCGGCGTTTTCAAATTCCTCCGGTTTGAAGAGCGTTTTCGAAAAGGTAGGAAATTTATTTAACCGTAGACCTAAAGCGGCGTTTTCAAATTCTACCGGCGTAATGCGGACAGGGCCTTGGGCATTTTTTTATTGTGCTTTTTAAGGCTTCGCCTCTTCAGATTCTCAATCAAACGCTCTTTTTCAAAGTAACATTTCGCCATACAAGATGACGTCTTTTGGCTGTTTAAAAATTTGCACAGCTTTTCGATCAGCCAGCATGCCTAGCCAATGCACAAGCACGCTTCTCGTGTTCATTACTAGTGTTTTTCGTAAATATGCATTTCACAGGGCAAAATGTGTTCGGAATCTTTTCATTAAATAAACTGTTGCCCAAGATATATGTCTTGTTATTTAAATTACTACTGGCTCCAGCTTTACTTTCTGGCGAATCTTGATAGTTACCTTCAATAAATAAACCTAATTAACGGTATCTTTCATCCATTTTCGCGTTTTGGAAATTCTTTACCCGCGAAGAAGCAATGATAACGAATTATTACAATATTTTAAGTTGAGAAAACCCTACTAAATATTGACATGCTTATTGCAAAAGACAAGCTATTTCTTTGTCGACTTCCCTCAGCTTGAATCGACTGATGAATTTAAACTGCAACGACTGTAACGCACCACGTATTTTCTCTTCTAAATTCTCCGAAACTTTCCAAACAGAAAGACGTTTTACTGTTACGTTCTAAAGCAGTCAACAATAAATGACGACCGGTGTTGATATCCAGCCATCTTGACCTCATGCTTACGGTCAATAACCCATATATATTGACTAGAGGGATTGAAATATATACACATGAGTAAATTATCATGCAATTGATTGCCTTTAGTAGTAGAGAACTACATCTTTGTAACTGTTCCAGTGACAAAAAATCACAAACAGTTCAAAGCTAACGTAAAAAGGTACAAGTATTTTCTTGTTTTCATGATTACCTGAAAATTAGAATGCCCGTTAAC